ACTATAATAATAAAATATGAAAGACTTGTAATTAAAGAACAAAAATAAAAAAGAAAGAGTTAAATAGTTTTATTAAATGCATTTATCGATAAAACAAAGTTTGAAATATTAAAATATTATGATTTCTATCTTTGTAGTAATTTTATGCATTTAAATATAATAGAATCTCTACATCGCATCGTGCTTCCCTATACCGGCACCGCCGCTCCCCGCCACTGCCGGCACGCAAATTATATTTCAATTAAGATTAAAAAATTCAGCAGCAATATAAAAAGGACATTAAACTGTTACGCGATTAAGCATTCATAAAAGCTCTCTATTTTATCAAAACACATTAAAATTAAATTATAGTGCGATCAATCAAAATAATTTAACATGCCGGCTCTCGACTCCCCTACCGTCTCCTAACGCACATCTACATTTTAAAGTGTAGTTTATCTAATCTGTGCCATCATTAGAACCCGACTATATCCACCCTACTTTGCCGCTTTTTAAATCAACGATATCGGTAACTAAATCTCAGTATCGCGGAATCAGTTATAAAAACATTGCAACAAGACATTTCCAACATATATTCCTAACAATCAGTATACATAAATGTATTCGATGCTTCAGTTTATACACAATTTGATAAATATTTAATATATTTAAAGTAAATTGCGTTAAACAAATCTGAGAAACTTCAATCTGAATATCCCTAAGCAATAAAAATATCTACAATTATTAATTTTCGAAAGCAATATAAACATTTAAAGCATAACGAAGGAGCAATGCTGCGTTGTTCAATTAGAAGACTAACATACCAGCATACTAGAATACATCTCAGAGTCTCTTTACAGCGTCTATTAAAGTAATCATAATGATGGCTTAGGATTTGCATTTTAAGTACACGCAAAGGTATTATAACATGAACTGGTCAGTGCTGTACCTATATCACGCTGTACACTTTAAACTACGCAGAATGTGTCGCTCGCACCAACCACAGTGTGTGATAGTCAATAATTTCATTGAATAATATCGAAACGTATGTTAAAAGATGGTGTGATTTTGTAATCTTTACCATTTCATGATGTTTATGATACATATTAAAGACAGATGCAATTAGACAATAAGTGTTTAACATATAATACAAAATATTCAGTCATTTTATTATAAATTGATGCAATTCATAAATAATAAGAAAACAAATCCATTGACTAATAGTCTGACTAAGTTGCCTCAATAATCGCATTCAAAATAAACAGCTCTGCACACAAACTAATTGCATTATGCATTTGTGCCGCGCAATGCCGGGGGCCGGCGGCGCGGCGGGGCGGCGCACATGTGTACACACAGGCCGCGCACTGGGGCACACACCCCACGGATTAATGCCATCGAATGCCAAATGAGCTATGACACCGTGCGGAGAATTGAATTAAAAAAAACCATGTCCATTTCACCTTTATGAAGCTCCTAACTCAATGAAATAAGGTCTTAATTCCCTTGATGGACAGTAAACGTACTTGCAGGGTAATTGCACCCAGTTTGGTACATTGGCTTTTGAGCTCAATTTGTGAATGAGAGTCTCATTTGGCGGCGATGCTCGTTTAACGTTTTAAAGGATTACGGGCGTAGTGCGGCGCTGCACAGCACTAGTGACTTCTCAAATCTGTTTTACTAAATGTCAATTTACTGTTGATTACATAAATCATTTTGTCATCGTCTATTTTTATACCACAATTATTGTGAGTAAAGCTTACTTTACAATTCTTACACATTTCAACCGAATACGACGAAATAAGTTGCCTCTTTTATGATATCTCTTAACGAATATAACCGATTTGTCAAGGTTAAGAAAAATGCCAAAAAAATGAAAAGATGATGAACGTAATGTTTTTGTTCAGCGGTTAATATGTTTGTTGAAAACCTTTAGCAAAAAGTGTATATGACAGTTCACTTAGCAGCCGTCACGGTGATGACGTCACGGACGCGGCGGTGCAGCGGCTGAGATTCACGTCCATTAATCTCATTATTCACACTTGATCTGATCCCCCTGCGCTTGCCCGCACCCCGCCGCACCCCGCCGCACTCCGCTACACTTTGCTTACATGCAACCGTGTTACTGTCTCTTTGTATTTCTCAATACACTGCCTTTATCATCAAGAAATTTATTGCATTCGTTTTCATATAAAGAGGAACCCTCGGAGTTTATTATATCTAGTAATTACATTGATTTAAATTAACCTTCACACAAGTGACATTCATAGTAATTTGCTCTTCGTAAAAAGGATTAGATATCTTAAATAAACTAAATTAAGTAGTTTTTACAAGGTATAATAACAGTGAAGCAAATGTAATATTAGATGGATTTCATGATAGATCTGCTCAATCTCGCAGTGGCGACTTTTTTCTTGTTTACTTGTCTTTTTGCCGAGTAAACACAACTTTACTGACGCTAAATTAATAAACGAAGGATATAATATTTACACTGTGATTTAATTCGTATAAATCAACATTGTAACGGCATCGTGTCTTACCGAGTGCCCCACAACAGCTCTGCTCACCCCAGCGCGAGGTATCACTTAGTATAATATAATTTGAACCCTCGGCTCACGTCCCACGCTAAATATCTGCGATGATGTACGACCCGGGACAGTCTGGAGCGCCGGGAGCGTCGGCCTCCTCTCCCGCGACGACTGCAGCGGCCGCCGCGGCCGGGGGCGACGTTTGTTTCATCACTATCATAGCTTTTGATGTTGTTATTGTTTTTTATTACTTGAATTGTTGTTGTGTTTGATATTCGTACTACGTCATATAATATTTTGTCTTCTGTAATTACAATTTAGACATATTATATGATATTAAGATCAATGAAATACGAATACGATTATTATCTTTTTTAATGTTAGATTGTAAGCGCACTGCTGTATGCCATAAGCTTTAATAATTTACGAACATTCCTCATTTTGAAGAACATTTAGTCCTGAGATATAACTAATATTACACGTATCTCATTATCTCATTGTACGTTTTCACTTAATTTTTAATACAGTCTGTTGATACGAGTACGTGATATAAAATTTTAATGAGAGAAAATCAGAGAACAACCGCTACAATTCCATAATAAAATTATGTTAATTCGAACATTCTCTTTCATATTTCATTTTGTAAGTATCGTACTTTCAATTATAAAGTTCACCGAGTAGGCAGCTAAATACGCGTGACCGCAGCACAGTGGGGTAAACGTCCCAGTCGCTGGCTATACGACCGCTTTCAATGATCCCGCCCGCTGCTAGCTCGCAGCCTCCACCGACACTGTACATATTCATCTCTCGCTACGATCTGTTTTATGCAATGAGCTTTCGAATAGCGCACGCAATGTATAGTGTCCATTTCGATTTGTGTATTTAGTATGATTGTGATGTCTCACAATGGTGTCGGATGCTAAAGAGCCCTCCCCTCTGGCATTTAGCGAGCGTTTAGCCGAGGGGTGAACATGTCACACCCTAATTAGTTCAGAATCAAACGGGGACTTTTTACGCCTATTTTATTGTTGGCTCAAACGAAAGTTATCAAGTACAAATGATCACTTAAAATTAAAGGACATTTACTTTTAGAACTGTCTGATGAAACATTTCAAACTAATTTAGTTGAATTTTAGGTGAATTGTGTATTAGCCTCGTTTGTTAAGATAAAGTTAAAAGATAAACTGGCTTAGACTACATATTTCTACTTTTCTTTCTATCTTTATCATTTTAATTAATTCAACGACGGTGGCCCCCCGGTCTAATCTTTTGACATTAGTGTCATAAGTCTTCTATCATACATAATTTTTATGCACAAATTGTAAATAAGCATCATTATAAAAACTATTAACATGGTATTAATTAACGAGGACATGGAAATAATCCAATTTAAAAATTATTACCATAAACAGAGTCGCGGGTCGAGACAGTTCAACATCAATCGTCAGTATATTCATTCATTTAAACGAAATTCCGAATGGAAACAAAGTAGGGATTCGTCCACATGTCCAGCGCGGCTAATCCCCCACTATTGAGCCAATCGTTTGACTGCGCCGCGACTAAGTGATTGACTTTTCAATCTATATAATCCGATTACTGATGGCATACGACACGATTGATTGTAACCTTCTGCACTGACCAAATATTTGAGCTTTAATTGTAATGTTATAAGGTCTAGAATGGCGCGGACGCATGCGACAGATGGTGGACGCGCCGTGTCGCCGTGGGTACGCGGCGAGTGGCAATAACGGGCGGTTTTACCCCACTCGCCTCGCGTTACTTAATTGTTAGAATGCATTACTTATAGTATTATAATATTATGCGTGTTTTACGACCGATTAGCATTATTTTGAACGAAAAATTTTCAACTAAAATAGATTATTGTTATAATTATGTTCTTTATAAAGGATTAGCGCGTGATAAATTTCAATTTTGCATGCATATGTTTAGCACTTACAAAAGCTTTCGTTCAAAAATGATTATGTTATGTATTGTTACTTTAATGACTGTATTATTAATATCACGTTATTCTTTTGTATTTTTGATTATATTTTCAAATAACAAAAAGCAGATATGTCTAAATATTATAATGATGATGTTCTCTTCATTTCCTACATTCTTTCAATTTATAAAATGTTTTAGAGCGGCCATAAATATTAAATTTGTTTCTCATGTTGCTATCAACATCGATCAGATCGACGATATCATTCATATATTTATAACATATACAAAAATGTTTCGAACTAATCTTATATTTGTTAAAATTTAATTTGACTCATTTGGCATTTATTTCTAGCGACTTGTTCAAGGGTGATCGCTTTACTTTGAAAATGTATTAACAGGTTTCCTGTTTAGATCTGATCTAAAATTATAAAGTGCACTTTGCTTAATAAATGTCAAATAGCAACCTGAAAATACATAAATAAACCGGTTGCAAAACTCCTAAGTCAAAATCTCTGTTGGACTTACTCTGCGTTAAATCTTAGTTCAGCTTACCTTAACTTGTGACTCGGTCATGCCGAGTGCGTAGGCGAGCTTGGCGCGTTCAGGACCGGCCAGGTACTTGGTCTGCTCGAAGGTCTTCTCCAGCGCGAAGATCTGTTGCCCGCTGAAAGTGGGCCGCGTGTGTTTCTTCTTGCCGTCCTTGTCCAGACCACCCTGCGCCGCGCACGCGCTCAGCGCACCGTTGCTCACTGAATAACAAATATACGCGTTACAACACTGACATATCTAGTCACTCTAGCTAGTCTTCGAATATATAAAATACTAACATTAAACAAAAGGTTTTATTGCTAAAATTCTCAAAGCTGCAGTTGTTTGTTTGATAGTATCTCACAGAATGAATTGTATCCAGTTTACAATCAATGTGTATAGAATGTAAGCTATTCTGACCTCCATTCGAGTACAAATTTTAATGCAATGGTGTATCAACAATTAGTTCAAAAATGTAAAAATAAATATCTCTCGTTTTATTTACATCGCAAGAGTACTAAAGCGTCACCGCCGCCAGCGCCAGCTCGTCCATGGAAGACGAACTTTCCGCAAATGCCTCCCGATGGAGACGGCTTTATCATTATTTTCATTTCATTTTTTCCTGCCCCCCCCCCCCTCGCTCCCTGACTTCCCTTTTGTCCCGCGGGATCTCGGCCGGCTCGTGGCTTGAGCGCGATGAAAACATCGGGATGCTTTTAATACTGCCATTATTTTTTACGCTCAATAACGATTCTTATGGTTACAATATCGACAGCAAATTTGTATTCGTTTCCAATTAAATAATACAACTGATATAATGCATTTCAGTACAAACAATTAATGCAAAACAGCATCCAAATGTAGTGACACGACATTACACGGTGTCTGGTTGGCTCCCGGCCTCACAGCCGAGCTCCGACACAAAGCGACTCGCAAACCTGAAGCTTACCTCTATAGTCTCACCAAATGACACCCCGAGCCAAACACCACGCGATAACAAACAAGTAAATATAAACTCTATTACAATCGCAGTAGAAAACTAAGTACATTGCATTAAAGCGTACCGAATTACGTTGAGGAAATTGCTAGCTTATATGGAAGTAGTAGAGTTTAAATTCGCTGTAATGTAAACATTAGTAAAGCTTGCAGAAGGAATCAATGTTGCGAGGCTTACGCGGGAGCCTGTGAGTTAATGTGTTGTTTAAAGTCATGTAGGTAGTTGTTAAAAGTGAGTGTTTCTGCTCGCAGCTTGTGTAGTAATGTTTACAAGAACATTCCCATAGTCAACTACACGTCACATACTTTTGCACATACATTAATGTTGTTGAGAGAACATCTACATTAACTAGTTAGCTGAATAAAGGTAACAGATATTTTTCTTATATAACTAACTTTTGCCCACGAAATCGTCCGTGCCGGATTTAAAAAAAATAACTAAATTAAAAGCCCAGGAGTCTTCCGCACTAGGTTCTATACCTATGGAAATTTTAAGCTAGTAACCTTTTTAGCTGTTCTGGAGATACCTTGTAACAAATATCTATGCATTCATACACACATTCGCATTTATAATATTAGTAAGAAGTAAGATATCACAAAGAGTTTATGAACGTAGAGCCGTTTGAATTTCTAAGAGCAGCAATATCTAACTAAAACTTTTCCTACCTGTTTCAATGTACTACATTTTTATTTATTGTTACGTAATGTTATGTATTATGCCGTACATTAGTTTAACAAATTGTAGTTGTAATAAAACAAAAGTAGGACAGTTATAGATAGATGGCGCTCGTAACTCTCCGGGCGGCAGTTCACGAAACACCGGAGACAAGAGATAAACTTGCCTAACGTAAAAATTGCATTAATATTAATGCAGCATAACATTAACCCAACGCTCAGTTACATTTATATTTATTTGTAGTAGAATATGAATCAATCCGGAGCTACAATGCCGACATATTCAATTTATGGAAGGTTCCTTTATTTACTACGGTAACTATTTAGCTTGATACTAGTATTCATGCTTGGTGTTGGCTGTGAAATTAGCAAATGAATTGTTGTGTTTTATAGAAAGAAACACATTAACTCCTCTCCATTATACTAATTTTCATATATCCTATTACTTTAATCGCTAGCTATGGCCCGCATCTCCGTCAGCGTGGGATTAAAAAAATAATATCTTTTACATGTGTGGCAAAATTCACAGAGATCTGTAAGAGATACCTTCTAACAAACATCCATCCATCCAACACTCGCATTTAAGATTTTTTTTAAATAGAAAGACATATAAATCTTTGACTTCGAATATAACTATTTTCAACTAATATCACTTCACTTCTTTGTGTTCATTTATAAAAACAAATCCATATAATTAACAAAACCCGTAACATTTTCACCCTGTCACCGTATCGCAGTGTCATGTCTCAATGTTAAACATTAGGATTACGTTTATAACTTAAAGTTATTACAACCAGATTCCGCTGGAGATTTCACAAATAACCTTTTTAATTATTCAAAGGCGTAGCTGCGATCAAATTAATTAAAATTTGTCAAATGCGCCCCCCGCGGCCAACCGCGCACCCCGCGCCGCCCCCGCACTGCCCCCGCACGCCGCACGTATCTACATCTTGACGAACTTCGAAAACATTTACGGCACTAAAACAGCGCATAACAATTACACGCCCAACCCTGACACAATTATCTTGGCGCTTAAAATCTCTGCACTCATACACACAGACAGCGGCGACCGCACAACCCTTGCAACCCCTTCCTCCCCGGGGACCTCCCCTGCCCTCCCCGCGCCACCCCCCGCCCTAGGGGTACTAACGAGGAGCGAACGGGGAGGCTAACGCGGGTACATATTGGAGAGCTTGTTGCTTTGCGTGTTAGTGAAAAATAGGGGAGATAGCCTTATGTACTGCTCGCTTCGCTATGTGGAACTACTTTCTTGTTGTTGTGTTCTGCCCACACTCTCTTTGAGAATAAGTCTGCTCATTTTATTTGTTTAATGTACACTTTAACTTTCGTGAACGGGGAATTATTGTTTGATTAGCTGGCTTCAACAAGCCAAGACTGTACTTTGAGATGATCAAAAGTCAAAAAGTTTTTATATTAGTAGATTGGTGGTGATTTGTTAAGTTACAATTAAGACAAAAATAAAGCGTAACTTTCTATATCAAATGTTAAAAGTGTTTATCACATCTAATCAATAATGTGCTATTAAAGCCCTTCTAATAAAATTGATACGGGAAGACGCTGATGTAATCTTTGCTGAATAACACAACATGAAGGTAACAACGACATAATAATGTAAACACACAGACAAGCGATTCATTCCGTTGTCGACAAGCAAACGTAACGACAGACGCCAAATCTGCGCTCCATCGTCTGAAAATAACCCTCCCCTCCTCCGAGGTGGGGCCGAGCACTTCTGCACCTCATTGTTCAGTCGTGCACGATGAAATGACTCCTCGCTCCCACCGAATAGAGTTTATAATGCTGTGTAAACTTGTGAGTACATTGGTGAACTTTGGTGGCAGGGTGTACACGTGTCAAAGAAATATGGCGCGCTGGTTGCGGCGAGGTAAACACGGGCGCGTTTTAATTGTCGCCGCAAGGAGTCACACCGCTCGCTGCTCGGGCTCTATCAGACTTGGTTGCCGAGCTGTTTGGTTTTAGATAATGAAGATTTTCTTATGTTGTATTGTTTATTTTTTGCGATAAAGTTAAGTATTCCTTTTATTTTGTAAGATGTCATACATTTATAGATTAGAAGGTAGACCTCACTATATCACAGATAAAGTCATACTTCGCCTATTCATTGAGAAATAAAGTTGTACCAAAGAATACAAATATCCATATGAAAGCAGCACAAAAGCACAAACATTTCAATGTTAGCATACGTATAATTATAATGATTACACACGAGAGGGCGTTATCTGGTGGCGTATGTCGCGACGCGGCGCGCCAACAGCTCGGCGATAACGCGGCGATACCGCGGCGCGGCGGGCGCGTGTCGCCGACAAGCGATCGCACGTAATGAAGCGATACGATATCACTCGACACGCACCACACCTGTGTCCTGATAACTTAAGGCTGTCTGCACACGCACACCTATGTTAACATTTCTAACATATGATACTTGATGAACTGAGCGTGATAAACAAAATATATTTGTTGAGAAGGTATACTAGGTAGACTACAGATTAACTATGGTGCAGATTTAAAAAAACACTATAACATCAGCTCATGAACTATTATTTTGCCTTCCACGATGTATTATCTAGACTACTATCTAGACATGAATAATTGCCGTATTGCTTTTAGCTAAGAGTAAAGAACCACAGTTCTGACGATTTTTCTGTTTATTCCAACAGAGTAGTGTTTGAATGCTGTAAGTTATATCGCTACTGTAGCTATCAAATGTACATATGAAGTTTGCAAGACACCTTTGCTGAAGTGTAGGAAGGAAGTACATCTGTAATATTCTTGTCGGTGCACATCAAACGGAACATTTGATCCCGGAGCGTGCGCGCCCGCCGTCCGGTATTACCATGCATTACTTACTCTAGTTAACTCAACGTTTTTGTTATTAATATATATGTATCACAAGGGACCGACATTATGTTTACTTTTGATTAAATGTATCGGAGAATTAGATAATTAACATATAACAAAAGTACAAAAATCACTCGTAGAAAAAACGAACAACGGCCTAATTGGTTATTAATGTAATAGTTAGAAAGACAGGCTGACATATGCATGTCTGTCACATTAGCAACATAGTCTTGTTCTTACAAGTTGTACAGTCATTTGTCAGTGGCTCCTTTACAATGTGCAAGTTTGCAGCACGCAGGCAGGCGTTGTCGCCGGGCGTCGGGCAACCGGCCAAAGTCACAAGACATGCAATACCTTATTTTAATTATTAATAGTTAAAGTTTTTAAGTTAAAATTTTCTATTAAAGTTTAACTTACATAACGCTATTTTATAACTTAATTATATACTATATGAAAAATATTTAAGCCTGTATGTGAACATGTCCTTACAAAGTGAGGTGTAAATCGTATGTTTGTATATTTTACCACTAGGCACAGATCGTATCTTCAGGTGAAGGCGATTTATATGTATTAACGTGCTTAAGTAATACATAAACGTAAACGAGATGAACAAACAAAGATAGCAAGTTTCTATTAAGCACTACCTTTGTTCATCTCTCTTCTTTTATACATTTATAAATGATGCTTCATTAACTTAATAGATAAATAAAATATGACATAAATGAGGTAAAATTGAAAATAGTTGTTTAAATTGTATTAGTTTTTATATATATAAGATTAATGGTCAGTTTTGAAGACAAAAAAACCCTCGTTACAAAATCTGTATTAAACATTGTAGGTAATAATAACCGTCACCTCAGTAAAACAAAGATGGAGTCTGTGTACGGGCGCGAGGTGACGCTGGAGGGGGGGGGGGGGGAGCTGTGACCGCACCCACGCAGCATTACGTTATTCTTAATTTAATTTCATTAGGCGCGGGCGAGATTGTTGCGGTTTTACAGCGGGCCGGGTGAAATTGGTCGCGTGCCCCCGTGCCTCCGTGCACCCGACGCACAATGCTGAAATTACTGAAGTCGCAAACGTTCAGGTGTGGCCGAGTCTAGATAAACTAACTTTGTAAGCAAAAATTTTGAAATTATGACGTTATCGGCATCGCAGTTAATCCAAACTTCAGTGCTCAGTGGAAAATCATTCAGATAAATATTTATTATAACTTAAAAGTGATTCCTGAAATCTTTGCTTAGGTATAAACCAACCTAGTCAGTACATAGTCCCTTGTAACACGTGTACTGTTACGATGCAATTAACCTAAAACGATAATAACATATAAATACTATGAGAGTATTCAGTGTGTGGGCGACAGGGGGCGCTGGGTGCTGGGCGCTGGGCGCGAGGCGGACACAATAAAAGGCGGGCGTCGGCTAACTGCCGCACATTCAAAACTGCATTCGGAAGTGAAATTTTAATTCGTGGCGACACATGCCGGCCGCCAGAGGGCGCGGGGGCGGCGGAGGGTGGCAGTGGGGCAGGAGGCAGGGCTGTCTTCTGTTATGTATCAAACAGACAAAACAGATAAGAAGTACTTGATTCCGTAAGTACTGACATTGTTCGGGTGTACAAGAACTTTGTTCGTTTGCGTTAAATATTCACTTAACTTAATCAAGGATTAATCTATTATATATTAGTACATTATTAGATGTTTGTTTTTAAGTTTAACCCAGGCTACACTTACACGTTTACCCACAGTTCAAAGTTACAATCAGCATTATATCAAAAATATTATCAATATAATTATGTTTATCCAAAAGATAAATTCGATGTCAACCCTATTTGGGGAGGTAATTAAAAAAATGTGTCCCAGTTCATTCGTGCGAGGCCAGTTCGACCGCAGCCTCCCCCTGCCCTCCCCTCCCCACCCCTGCTGATTAATAATTGGTGTGCGGAGGCGGACGTAGAGGATTTTTAATTAGCGGCCGAGTGTTTTGCAGCAGAACATTCTGCCCTCACAGTGAGTGCAGGATATTACAACGAGCACAATCCAACGCAGCACAAACTACATAATTTAAGAAAATTCCTCACAAATACTCAGCCTAGTGAGTAATATAAATGTTATTTTTAGTCTAATATCGACTGTTCTTTTCATTCAGTCTCAAACTCAGTATAGAATAGAGAGTTTAGATTCTTATTTAAAATTAAAATAAAATTAACTATGCCACTTTGCTTCAATTAAAATAACTAAATTAAGATGACAACTATAAGATTACTGTAGAAATCAAAAAGCTTTATTTCAAAGGCTTTGTTACTGACACAAATCATAGAGACGTGTTAACAAGTAAATCAAACATTTCTCCTCACTGCAAGTTGTGTCATCAAGGTGGACATCGCTAAGACGTTGACCGGGATAACATGAGACACAGTGCTATAAATTGTCATTATTATTGCGCTGGCCTATGTACTCGTAAATATCTTAATATTCAATGCCTTTTTGAAGATCAAGACATCATAAATGTTACCGCAGTAGTATCAAAATCCACATAAGAACTAAGTAAAGAAAGCAACACTTTCAACCAGAATATTTTATCAATCCATTGTAAATGTTGTAATCTGTTGTGAACTACACACATGGTGTCACTTCTAGAATACTATAAACACAGAGTATTAGAGACACGATGTCCTTGTTATATCCTATTCCATAGCCTATTAACAACTGAGTCCTTTTACTGCAATAATTTTTAGTTTTTTTATAAACTACATCTACATATTTAAGATGCGTACTTAAAAACAATGACACACACACGCACACACATTTGTATTATGCCTATGAGATGATGTGATTATGTTTACAAAATGTTATATAAATCCCCTATAATTTATTTTATCTGTAGTTCTAGGAAGTAATGGAAATGTTCGGTATCAAGGTGTTCCCGACGGCTGCGGGGATATCACGCGGCGCGGCGCGGGCTTACACAATCTGCACAAGCATTACTTTCTGTAATGAACCGTGAAGCATTGCATTGTGTTTAATCCCCTTTATAATATAATTACGCCTAATTCTAGATAGAGATATAAACAATTAGTAAACAAACGATCAGGGATATTAAATCCGATAAAATTTAATTTAATTTCATGTTCGCGTTAAATTAAAAAATCGTTTTGTTTTCAATTTTGGAATTTTGAAATTGCTGTAATCAAATTTTAAAAATATAACTGTTGTAAAATGACTAAAATTGAATGAATTCTATAAAATTCAATCATATTGGAGTCGAAACCTTCGTAAACAAAGCGATACGTACATTTTTTTTTTGCGTTTAATGTTTTAATATTATATTTTATAATTAAAAGATTTTATATAAACAATATTCAACCTTTATAATCAATTTATTATCTATTTATATTAATAAGGTAAGTATAACAAACACACGGGACAAATAATTAGCGTAAAGCTTGCGTTTATCTCGAGTGGGCGATTAGAGGGAGGCAGTGTGACACCGCCGCCGCCGCCGCGGCCGCGGTCGCTATCACCGCGGTGATAAGCCGCGATATTCATTATTAGAATCGCAAAGTGCCGTACGAATCTATATCAACTAATTACATTTGTTGCCTCACACACATACACACAAGTTAACCAACAGTTTATATGTACTATAAGGTTACATATAAAAGCAATAATATGAAACGACGGCTATTCTGTAAAGATGTATTTGATTATAAGATGCAAGAAACTCGATGATGTTTCGGTTCGGTTTATGACGCAATGTACTTTGGTTTAAATAATATTCATATACGACATTACCTATTCATTCTTTCATTTACCGTTGATTCCTGAGAACAATATCTCTATATAAAATTAATCTTTACCACTGTCATTTTTTTTTGATATAACAGAGATAACAACATGTTTGAATGGATATTTTGGTCTCAGAAACCCATGGTTAATTATAAGTTTATTGTTCACGTAATGCGAGATGTTACAAACTAACATTTAGTAATAAATTCCGCGGGTTTAGTAAGCCTGTATATTGAATAAGTTGATCTCTGAAAAATTAGTTGTAGGTAATTAAAACTTCATTCACAAATGTATCGGATCACGTGTAGTCAGAGAGAAACCCAATAATAATGTGTTATATTTAATTATTTCATCCTCATCATAATCAGCCTAAATTTGTCCACTGCTGGACGTAGGCCATTTAATTATTTACTTTAGTTAATTCTACTATAGCTAAAACTTCACTAAATACCTTAATGTGTGCATACAATACTTCCCATATAATAGAAAATGTAAAATACAAAATATCCGTAAAATTTAATGTGGAAACAACATTTCTTTCTTTTAAAATTTTATAAAGATCTCTTAAGACGTTCTGTAGAAACCTTCTAATTCCATCCATCCGCCCAATAATATTCGATTTTATAATTATAGTAAGATTTCGCATTGTGTTTTCATTCGTATTTATTAAATGATTTATCCCTCATCCGAATCATAGTATTTATTTCAAAATAATTAACGTATTAACTTGTTAATTACACCTTTTTAATAATTTAATGAAAGCCCAACGACTTGTAACTACCAGAGTCGTAAACATCAACGTAAATTTACGCGCCGTCGGTACATTACCTAACCGGAAGCGGATACTTGCTCATGCCGACGGACGAACTCAAGTATTATAACTTGCAACACTTAAACCCAACTTATTTCAACTAAACAACTAATGAATAGTATTTTATATATAATAAATGAAGATATTACTTAAAAAAAAGTTTTATGTAATAAATAAAAAATGTAACAAGTTTAGTTAATTTTCTTTAAGTTTTTGATGTCACGCAAAGATAAGTAAAAATTTGATAACTTGGGTAAAATGTTGGTATAAATAACTCCGATATCATAGAAAATAAAGTCTATATGGTGATAAGAACCTAAAGTTTCCTGAACTACCTAATGTATTATAATAAATTGTGCCTATTTCATTTGCCTGTACTTAAATTACTCATTAGACAATATGTAACAGTAAAATGTTGTATGTATTACATTTAAATGTACATAAATATCTGAAATAATGCTAAACTATTTATGCCAATTTGGACTAACATTACCGCAACCTACTTCGAATTTAACTTTGAACATAACTTTTGTATATCTACTATGTAGAGTTAAGCGAAAAAATACGTAAAAGTAGAGCAATTTACTGGTAGTTCTTTTATTTAGTATTGTAAACCTTAAATGTTTACTCCGACACTTAACACAATAAACAGTTAAATAGTAACCGTTAAATTGTATTTGTGACATCTTACTGCGTTGATGTCTTTTGCTCACTGCATTTGAAATCACTAATTAGTTGCTGGTTGCTAGCTAGTGTGGTACTCACTAGACTGCAGGCGGTCCCTCCAGGCCATGGGGTTGGAGACGAGGCCCTGGAAGCCGGGCCAGTAGAGCGGCTTGTGTTGCAGGTAATGCGCCATACCCGCCGCCGCCGCCGCCAGCGACAAACGCGGTGCCAGCAGACCCGCGCCCACGCCCACGCCTGCCGGACCAACGCCCACGCCGCCCGCCGGCCGCGACAGGATGTGGTCGATCCCGTGAGGGTTGGGCGCGGGTGGTGGCGCCTCCGCCAGCGAGCTCAGCGCCGCCAGCGGGGCTCCGAAGCCTCCGTCCAGGCCGCCTCTCGACAGAGGAGGTGAGCCACGAAGTTCCGACATGTTAGTACTAAATGTTCACAGCATCAGACACTGAGTCCCGAGGGCGCGCACGTCGCGACACGTTAGCACATAGACATGGCGGCTGCTGCGCGAGGGCACCGCTCGCGGCCGCGCTCCGATACCGAATGAAAAGCTCACAGACCGGATACAAACAGAAAAAAACTGTATGGAGACCGCCCAGTCAATCTAAACCTTATATCGGAGCGCCGCCCCCGGCCGGCGGCGCGCGAACACCGTGCGTCTCGCTCTCCCGCGCTCAGGCCAGACAAGGATAGCACAGGCGGCGTGTTAACACGATAGCGTAGATTTAACGAATCGCTATTTAATAGCGCTTCTTGTCTCTTTATAATTAAGTCTGGTGCAGTTTTTGCGGAGCGGCTCCCCCCGGCGCCGCGCCGCTCCCCCCGCGGCCCATTGTGTCCGGAATAATAAGGCACTTCGTGAATAGAACCGTTTGTCGCGTGCATCCGGACTCCGGAGTATTTGTCCTTAGATAATTTATGTGACAAATATTGTATTTATTGAGAGCACTCGATCCGGACAGAAATAAAACTCCCCGGACATTAGCGGTCCCCCGCCTCACCTCACTCGGTCTCGCCCCGCACCCTGCACAAATAAAATATTAAATTTTATGGTTTTTAAGGCATTTACAGACAATTCTCTCTCTATTAATCAATATAAGTATTCAGTACTATTAACATAGAAGCGAATACACACAGTTTTTTTTCTAAATCTGTAATTTTCAACCTTTTTTTAAAGACTTTTTTTTAAGAAATAATATTAATAAAAAGAAATTTGAAAAATCAAGTTATCAAAACTTTATGAAACTTAATCATCCAACCGATATAATTATCTCTTGCACCTTGCTGTCCATAATCCTTTAACTTATTAAAAGCATATACCGAGTTATCAAAATAAGGTTTGAAAATAATCTATCCAATTAAAAGCGACGGTCACATCCGGCAAGCGGCGATAGTAGCGGCAGCGGCAACGGCAGCGGCAAGCGGTAAGCTCTCACGAGTACAAAGAACTGAATTAATGAAAAACTCGCAGACCAATTGTACCACAACACCGAGTCAATTTTATAAGCCCTTTTTAATCCCTAATGGCGGGCATTAACCGAAATTAAAAACCTCTTCCCCTAATATATATGGCGGTGTAATAAATAAATATAACAATAAACGATTCCGGATGAAAAAAAAAGGAAACGTGTGACAAAAAGCTGCCCTCAAAAGCTCCGAGCACAAAAGGCAGCGCAGATAATGATAGCTAATGATAACCGAGATTTAGTATTCACTTACGTAGATGTGTTCAAATTTCATGCAATTTTTATTGCCTTATTAAATTTAATAAGTTTGTGTAACTCGTATCTATTACTTGATAAAATTGCAGCTATTATATATTTATTTAAAGTTTAATTGCATTATTTATTCATATTAAGATAAATAATTTTTATTTTAGTTAACAACAAATTTAAATTATTTGTCTCTTATAAAAATGTTGTAAAGAAAGTACGCAGTTAGCACTGTTCTTGAGACTAATTTAATAATTGAAATTAGTCTGACATTTCGTTCATAGATTTACTTGTTTGTTAGACATCTTTCTTTAGTTCTGTTGTCAATATAATTTTGTATTAGCTCCGATGTTTCAATTTTTTAAAGTTATTTTTGATAGCTTACAATATCTAGACAAGTAATAGAAAGAAAGTAATAAATGAAGTCCATAGTGAGATGTCATTCAAATATCTTCATTTAATATTTATTTTTACCTTGCACAATTGAAAAGTCCTAAATTAACAATCCTCCGATAGTACATCGAATATAATTTTTACATCAATTTGGAAATTATTTACCGAAACTAAAATGGTAAATCATAATGATTTATTCTGAAAAAGAAAAATCCTTTTTTCAATTCTTTAGTATTAAACATACAACATGTCCAAGTCCAAGAAAAATAAAAATAAAACATCGGAGATATATTTGATAATAATAACAATATCTGTGTGTGCGAGCGCCTTCATACATACATACATACATGTATGTATTGTATGTACAACAAATACAAAGCAATCTATTCACGATCTGCCAAATAATCTCTCTTATACATTTAAATTGGCAACGTTCAAATAAAAAGCCGATTCCACGCAATATTCGCGAAAGCTTCCAACTTAAAAACGACTACAAAAACATCGGATATGAAGAATCGACTCCACTCTCCAATGTGTTAGACAGAAATAACTTCTATAGAGAAAGAGATAGACTATAAACCACCGCTCTTATTGGTTTTGACGAAGTGTAAGATTCCGCCCAACCCCCCCTGAAAGTTGCCCACGTGTTTTTGTTGCGTTCAGATGGTTTTCAGATGTCGACCGATACGGACGTGCCAGCACAACTCTGAAACTTTTGAATTTACGTTCTATTATTTAACTTGAAAATAAATATTTCTATACTTCGAAAAGATGATCATTGATTCTCATTTCTTTCCTTTTTTTGTATTATATCACATTTATGTACATCTTGTTGAATATATAAAAATATACAAGCTGTGACTTGCAGCTCTGCTCGCTTTTGGTTCGTATTTTCCTTTTCATAAAAGTAGAAAAGTAATTAATGTACTATGTTTTGTTAATTCTGCGCTGACAAAGTAACCGGCGACAGTTAGTTGATAGGTTAGGTAATAGTTTAACTACTCCTAAGTCTACTTAGTAAACGATATTTCCCTTATAGTATAGTTTCAATATAAACAGAGTGTGCGGGAGTTTATGTTACGTTGACTTGTGGGAATCTAAGTAGAATTTCACTTTTACTTACACTTTCGCTAACCAGATTTAAAAAAAATATCATTACTAATGTAATTGAAGTAGGTTTGCAATATTACATATTATTTTGTATTAATATTTAAATACGCCCTGATATAATACCACTAAATCAATCTCTTATTATTACAAGAACTTTGTTTCCCTTTTACGACTAAATGAGATAGGGTTTTAATATTTAATGAGTATAAACAAATTTTAAATCATCGCGATCGCGTCATATCAAAGGCCAAATTAAATCAGCAGGGCCTTCGTATCGGTGTCGGAGCGCGAGGGGCCCTAATTTCATTATCTAGGGTCCCGTCCCGCGGCCCTCGCGCGTTATAATATCTTTTGGAAAATGAAATGATTCCGCTCGATTAACCCTGAGTTGAGCAAACACGGCGACATCAAAACGAGCTGCTAACCTCGTTAACTCTCCATCACTGCGCTGCATTATCTCATTTAAACTTCATTTACTTTGCTAACATCAATTTATTTAAGTGACGAATCGAACACTAATATGATTATAATAATGGAATTTAAGTATCGTTAAAGTGATATAAAAAATTATAATAAAATGTTTTTATTACGAAAATATCACCTTCTCTAAAAATAACAATAATTTTATTAAACCTAGACAATATTTCTTTATCTTGTACTCTCGTGCTGTAAACAGAAATCGTGATACAAAAACTCTTACTGAAAAAGTAATTTCAGTCCATAATTACATCTAAAACACAATGAGTGCAAATACAGTGCGTTTGCCCGGTGTAATGTTAGCTGCAGGTGCCGGCAGGGGGAGACACTGTGCGCTCGCGACCTGGTAGTGTTGCGACATCTATCGTTATAAAAATTATTTGACCGCAAATCGGGTTTAGCCCTATTTAACCCAACATTTTCTTTACTCTTTGCATTCCAGTGTCTAAACTACTCGTTATCAACTTGTATTACTTCTATTCTTAAAACAAAGTTTATATTATGCTAAGTTTTTGTTACTTTTATCTATCTCTGATGCTTCCTTTATATTTTTCGGAATGCAACGATTGTACACTATATAATCTTGTGTTTACTTCAGTGGAACATTTGTCGATATGTAAGTATAAGGTACATCACTATCGCAGTCGGAACGCGTCGAAAACATTTATTTGTCAAGTTCCAGAGAAGGTATTGAGTGGAGCTCATTGGGTATTGGGGCAGGTAGCGGCGGCGGCGGCTGAATTAAAAACAATAAATTGTGATACAACACGACAAGTTCGCGATTAAAAAACTTTAGCCCTGTTACTGTTTATTGTTTACAGTTAACGTTTAACTCTCAAACACTTGCTAAGTAACGCGGTGAAAGATGAATTATGTTCGCCTTCGAAAGTTGCAAATTAAAAACCTTAATTTAATTTCATAGAACTGAAGGACGTGTATAATTTGTTGCTGTTCTTATATGTGTTTTCACAAGTAAGAAAAGTATAAATTTAATTATTGATTCATCGAATAAAACGACATAATCAACCGGTTGTTTGATACATAAAACATCGATAGAATGCGAGGTTCACGCGTGGCCTGTATATATGTAAATGTTGCTCTACTACTTGCTCTCATCTACTTGCTTATTGTTCATGAGATTTTTACAAATATTACACTAATTGTGTTATCTTATATAATAATATAATAACAATGTCATGTCATTCACTAAATCTTGAAACAACCGACCGTAATAATGATTGCCGCCATCACAAGTGCTAACAAATGAACATTTTAACGATTGTAGTTGTGTTGTATTGCTGGTAGCGCGGTTGTGGAGCTAACGAGGCCGGCCGTTGCTAATCGCACAATATTTCCTCTGGACCCTAATCCGCTAATTAACCGCCGCGCAAAGACCAACTTCGGCACTTCAATGTATAAACGCATAAACAGGACACGACACTCACAGGGTTGCTGACACATACACTGACAAATAAATTAAATAGCTAGAGGGTTGATATAAAAATTTCACAAAGAATACGACTTACATGTACGAAACTATACACCATCTTTCCCTCTTTTACCCGTAAGAAAACTAGCTAACACTTTGAATCTATGAACATATCCAGATACAAGTAATGTTGAGTAATGTGTAAATTGTCAACCCTAACAGGACATTAACTGGCGGGCAGGGTGCGGCGGGGGGGTTGCGGGGGTGAGGCGGTCATTACAGCGCGTTACCAGTTCCAAACGTTCGTGTTTCATTGTTATTCGGATAAAGTGTAATTAGAAAGAGATTTACAGCAAGCGAGGCCTAGTCATGTTACTCATGTACTGCGGGATAACATTTGCCATGT